TATGTTTAGCACTTTTAAGGCGTCTGACTATAATTACCTATTAACTGTATTTATTTGCTTAGTTTGTAGTTTATCTGTAATTAAGCCGAGGCTCTTTCCTTCGCCTGCAGACGCTCTGACTGCAGCTAGAAACGCCAACATGGAGCTTCAGGCCACCCTGAATCAGACCATGGACGAGCTTAACTCCTGCTGAAGCTCCTCCCACCGCGTCGCCTACCAGGAAGCTCTGCGGCGCAGCCTGCTGAAGCTCCTCCTCCTCCAGGTGGAGGTGTGATGAGGGCGTGGCCTCCTGCCTCCTTTCTGGATGATTCCCATGTCACACATTCCTTCTGTCACATTGAATTGTTTATTTTAATCCCAGTTACTAACAGCTTCCCTCGTTTGGACTAATTCAGAGTTTAATCACTTTTGGTAATCGATTCGTTGATTAGGGCCAAATATTATTTCTGCCAATATTTGTTGTTTTTTGAGACGTGGGGTTTAAGTGTGTGATCAGCCAATCATGAAGGACATTCCACTGCCAAATACGGCGACCCAGGGGCCAATCAGTGGTCAGACTTCCCCCCGTTTTAATGTAATAGTATTTTTACCTAGTGATGTCATCACAGCCATGATGTCACAGCTCATTGTAATGACCCAGAGTGAAAAGATTTTATAAAATAAAAGCTCCGCATGTAAACCTGAACAGAGACTCTGGCTGCTCTGGTGGACGTGGGTCATGGGTGGGGGGGGGAAAGGGTCATATCATGGTTACATCATCAGAACTTCCATGTAGGATCTAAGTTACGTTCCAAACTTTCTGGGCTGTAAACCTAGTTGCCTGTTACCATGGAAACCTACAATGCGTTTCATTGGTTTAACACGGTCAGAGCGACATGCTGCTGCAGGAGAATAACCAGCCCATAAGCTAATTACCAACAGTAACCATGGAAACGGATGACTATAGGTGAGGGAAGCACCTGTTTGCTTCAGCTCTGCGATGTGGAAGAGCGCCCTCTAGTGGCTCCAATAAAAAGCTGCTGTGGTAGAGAAAAAAAAACTACCAAGATTTATTTTAAATTTTTTCTTTATTTCATCAGATAAAAACCTCACTGAGGTCTAGATGTTGTTTTCAAGAAACGCATTAAAGGCATTGAAAATATCAACATTAGCGTTGATTATAAGATCCTGATTTCAAATAATAAAAAAAAATAAGATCTGATATGTTGAGTTCAGACTGATTTGGAAGACGGCATTCAGTGACTGAAGACATCTCCATAATGAAGCCAAGGTTTTAAAAAAAAGGGAAACCATTTTTCTTTCCAGTTTAAATCCTAGATTTGTCGTTAGAATCATAAGTTGGTTTGGAAAAGTTGAAATCAAATTTTTTTTTGTTTTTTTCCTTAAAATAAATGCATTTTTTCTTGAACTTAGGAGGTAAGTGAGACACTTTGCCAATTGAACAAGACAATTTACATTTAAAATAAGAAAAAAAAATAGTATTTCCTTATTTCAAGTGCACATTACCTAATGTATGGGGGGAAAAACTATTCAACTAGTCACCCTAGTTAAGGGAACAGTTTACGGCACAGTAATTCAGAGTAATTCAGTTCAACTTATGTTGATGAAAAAACCAATTACAGAAACAACTTGGCTTGTTGTAGGAATAAGTTTGTTTTACCTAAAACCATCCCTCACTCAGACATTGTCTCAGCCTTGCAGGTGAAACAAACTCAGTAAAAACATTTTTCCTGGATAAATAGTATAACTAAATATATAAGAGGAGAAATATTTTGATTTTTCCAACCTCACCATCTTATTTTAAGAATAAAAAGTACTAATTCTATTGGTAGATCATCCTATTTTCCTGCTTAAATTAAGGCTCAATATCGGTTTTGCAGTGACAGCCAATCAGATGCTTCATTAGATCTGTGTCATCATGCAGAGGGTGACGCCTGTCTGACATCACCAGCAGGAAGCAGAAGGATCAATCATTCTGCACATGCTCAGTAGCAGTCACTCCCACTCCAGTGATGTCATCATCAGATTTATGTCAATGCCTCCAAGAGCGAAATAGAAATACTCGCCAGTATTTTGGCACGAGTTGATCAACCGTTGAAAAAAAAAAAATCCCACAAGCACAAAGACCTGCCGCTTTGGGAGGAGAAAATGATTCCCTAGACGAAGCCGCTCCTCCCACTCATTCAGAGGATAACTTTATTGATCAGTTCGGGTTGAGGAGGCCGCTTCCTGCGCCGCCTTCAGGATCGGCTGCAGCTGTTGGTCCAGAGGGGGGGCTCCGGCCTCGTTAGTGATGATCCAATCAAACTCCACGCCGCCGTCCAGCCCGCACTCTGACTCTGCGTCGTCCACACCTGAAAGACAGACAAAAACCGAACAAAAGGGGCCAAGAAACAAAGAAAAAAAACCCCTAACGGAACTAAAAAAAACTTTTAACGAACCAAAACTTAACCCAATAACTAATTTTCCCCCCAACTCCGAACTTTCAATCCCTAAAATTTTAAAAAAAAACGTTACTCGTTACTCTTGGCTTCGGTTTAATGTTAAATATTTATTTCCCGTCATGTGCTCCATCCAATGCAGATCATTGGCTACACCCACATCTAGAGAAAACTAGTGTGATTGGATGAGTCATAGAACGCAAACACTCATTGGTTAGCTAAAGGAAACCATCAGAAGCCAGCAGGTGTTCTTCAGACTGCTAACGCTAATTGTCTATGCCATGCTACAATGTGGGATTCAGAAAAAGATGCTGAAATGTCTGAAAGATCGGAGACAGGCGAGAGCGTATCGGGAGACGGAGACCAACAAGACCTCCCTCATCCTTGGCCCTATCTCTAAGAATATTTAGAAATAGTCCAAAAATTTAGCTTTAAATCAGATACTGGCATCTGGCTGTTTTTTTAAAGGTTACTTTATACTTTTATACTTTAAGTAGTTTTTTGGAGCGCATACTTTTTCACTTTTACTTGAGTAAAAAGGTCAAGTATTCAGAGTGTTTTTATACTGCAGTATCTATACTTCTACTTAATGTGTACTTTTGACACCGCTGCACCTGAGCAGGACGGGTCACTATTACCTGCTGTGAAGCTCCACCCCCTTTGCACCCTGGTTTCGTCTGAGCACTGGACTCTGACGCTGCGGGTCTGACGGGGAAACTCTGAGCGGAACCACTGCAGGTCCGAGAGCCGCCGTGCGTCACTCACCACCTGGCCAATCAGAAAGCAGAGCCGCCATCACCTTAGCGATCACAGAACGGCGCTAAGAAGACCTGAACCAATCACAGCAGCTCACCCACACAGGCTGTCGGGCTCCACCGGTTGCCAGGCGACAGAAGAAGCCGGGGTCCTGGTTCCGGCGGTCCTCTCCCCAGCGGATCATGTCGGCTCGGTACAGCTCCTTGTACGGACCGGGACCCAGCAGCTGGTCCAAGTCCAGATTGTGTTCCTGCAGCAGCAGCAGCAGAGCTCAGTGTGTTACCATGACGACGTGCTGGTTGAGCAGGTGTGATCTCACCTGAGCGAACTGCTGCTTGAGAGGTCCGGACAGACGCAGGATGCAGCAGATCTCCGGGCCCAGGCTGCAGGAGGAGATGAAACAACCAAAAAATGTTAATCATCTGAGGAAACTAAGCTGGTTGCTTCCAGTCATCCATCATTCTCTGCAAGCATAAGGCGACAGTGAAGAGGAACAACTACTTTTAGCAGAACCAGAACCAGCCTCAGTGTGAAGTTTGAGCAGATAGTGTTTGTACCGCTGGGCCCAGAGCCTCTAGTTTGAGGCTGATGTGAGATTCTCAGTAGGGGCGGATTTAGGAAATTTGGGGCCCTAGGCAAAGGCAAGCAGGGGGCCCTCTGAATTAAGGAGACAACACATA